GGAGGTGAGTGGGGGAGGGTAACACTTATTAAGCACTGACCATATGTCAGATGCTTTATTCACTTTTCCTCCATTTCATTCTCATAATTATATCCCTAGAAGGTAAGTGTTATTGTATCTGCATCATATACGTTGGAGGCTTAGAGAGACTGTCTTTCCCAAGATCAGTCAGTCAGTGTGACCAGAATTCAAACCCAGATCTGTCTGACTCAAGTTTATAATCTTTATCTGGTATTTCTCTGCTGAATTTCATGCCTGTCAGATATATTTTATCAAGCTATTTTCAATGAAGAGCCAGCAACCAGGTGGTCATACAAGTCATGGAACAGCTGAATATATTCTGGCTTGAGTTTTGCTTCAGTCTGTGGGTGTGGGTTGATACTGCCCGATTCTGGAGACATATGTGTTAGATGTGGCACTCTGGTCAGTTTTAAGGTCTTTTTCGAGAGGCTGGCCCAATGTTCCCAGGGTTTGACAGGGCTGCTGGTGGAGTCAAATCCTCAGGGACACTCTGAATGGCTCAGTTGTATTTAGCACCAGCAACATCTTGGAGTACGTAAAAAAATCTCCAAGAGTGGCTGCTGATGGAGATGCTCTCCCTGGAATTCAGGGTGGGCCCTGTCTTAATAAAACTACATTTTGAATGTGACCAAATCATGGATATAGGCTGCATATAGCTTCCCTAGATTGGGTCTTCTGAACCATTTGGAAAAAGGTACTTATTATATAGGCACAAGTGAAATCTGACCCAAAAATAGACATAGGAACTGGATTGAAACCAAACAGCAGTAAATATAAATAGCGCTGGTCTTTCATTCATCTCTCCTTTGCTCTATCCTTCATTTAGCTTTGTGTTCTCCTTTTTATGAAAGACTATTTTCAATAAAATGATAAATGATTAACATTTATTTACAACAGAGCATTCAAACTGGTTTATTATTGCTTTCCTTTTATACTATAGAAGAAATCTTGACATCAGCAAGTAATAGTTATTCTTTTTTTTTTTCCTTTTTGTCTTTTTTCGTGACCGGCAACGGGATCGCAACCCTCGGTGTCACACCCGTACCGTGACCAGCAATGGGATCGCAACCCTCGGTGTCGCGCCCGCACCACGCTCAACCAGTGAGCGGGAACTGGTCTCTATATGGGATCCGAACCCTCGGCGGGAGCGCCGCCATGCTCCCAAGCGCCGCACTCTACCGAGTGCGCCACCGGGCCGGCCCTATTTGTTTATTTTTTAATAGATGACCGGGAAGGGGATCTTAACCCTTGACTTACAGCCATCCCTATATGGGATCCGAACCCATGGCCTTGGTGTTATCAGCACTGCACTCTCCCGAGTGAGCCATGGTCCAGCCCCCTGTGTTTAATTCCCAAGTCTCAAAACATGAGATTTGGGATCCTGGGACTATTGTTGTTATCTTAGTCTATCAATCAGCCAATTCAGAGAACTGAGCAGAGGAGAGTCCCTGTGGCTCTGCCTGGTGGACGACAGTCTGACACAAAACCTCTGCTCAGGTCCTGTCTGTGTCTCTCTCTGCTGGCCACGTGCTTCCTGCTCTAGCATCCCTCTGACCCCACCTCAGTCCCCATCCCCAGGTCAAACTAAGTGCCTCCTACCAGTTTACATGGGTTTCTACTATAACACTCATCTCACTGGATTTGAATATATGTGTGTGTAAAATGCGTCTGCTTCTGATGGTAGATCACGAGTATCGCAAGTGTTTGACCTATAGCTCAACACGTTTCCAAATGAAAGTATCTGAATGACCTCCTCATTATCTTGTTTTAATTTATCTTTATAAAGACAACTGAAACTTGTAGGTTAAATAGGTGAGCACTCAGGATGGTGCTGCAGAAAATGGAAAGTTGAGCTTTATTTGCTGTTGGCTTTAAGAATCAAGTGGATACTGGGCAAAAACCTAGAATTATCTAGTAAGAGTTCCTTCCAGTTTTTATTTTCAATTGTGATTTTTTAAAATTCAATTTATCAAAGGCCAGAAATTTCTCAACTTATCTTAAGTAACTAATACATATATGTATATGTCTGTGTGTATGTATGTGTAGTCATTGTGTACATCTCTAAGTAAATGTATTTTATACATTTTGAAAAAGGACCAGAAGTAAAGAACCATTTTTATCACTAGGGTGGATTTTTTGTTAGAATCATGGGTGATTTTTATCTTCTATATGCTTTTTAAAATGAATATGTATTTATTACCAGGAAAAGTGTTTAAGAAATTTTTAATCCTGATGAGTTCAAGGGTCAAAAGAGTCTGGGAGTCTGAGGGATGCTCTTCAGCGTCTCAGCCTTGGTCCTCCAATAAGTCATCAAAACATACTTCAGTCCTGTAATTAAAGCAACTGCAGCTGCATGGTGTGAATTTTGTTCTCGCACAGATCCTTACATCGGGAAGATGTTCATTCCCTTCACCATGCCTGTTCTCCTCTGTCTCTCCAGCTTCATGAGAAGTTTGACCTCCTAAAGCGGACACACCAAGAGGAGAAGAAGAAGGTGGAAGACAAGAAGAAGGAGCTTGAGGAGGAGGTGAACAACTTCCAGAAGAAGAAAGCTGCAGCTCAGTTGCTACAGTCCCAGGCCCAGCAGTCTGGCGCCCAGCAAACCAAGAAAGACAAGGATAAGAAAAAGTAAGCAGGTGTCACCCCCATGTGTATTGGGGACCTCTAACAATTTATTCCTCTTGCATGTCTCTACTTTTCCCATTTACAGACTGGAAACTGGTCTGTTACCAGAAAGATAAAAGCAAGTATTTTCTCTACAGTGCAGGGAAGATGATAAAGGTTTTTAAAGTATTTTTAAAGGGTACACAAAGATTAATTTATAAAACTTGACCTTACTGACCAAGCAATCAGGACTGGAAGTAACTTGCCGTCTCCAGTAGCATCTTCTGCACCAGCCCTAGGATTCTTGGAGAAGATGGGTTTATTTCTCTTCAGTACCTCCTGAAGACAATTCTAATGACTCTTTTGATAAAGAGCATCCTAAAATTACGATTGTTGAAATTATTTTCCTAATCTTTGTTGTATAGCCAGTCTTTGAAAGTCTTGTTCCCAAAATGAAATATTTGGAAGAGCTGCTAGTAGCCACTATTTTTCCTCTAAATTCAACAAAATGATGAATTGTTTATTGTGAAATGGGCTCAAAATCACTTCTCTTTGACCTGTAGTGGCATGAGAGTATATAACATTTCATCAGATTACAGACAAAGTAGAACTAACCCCAGCACTGACATTAGCTGGACCCCACCTCTGCCATCTGTGGCCACCAAATCCCTTTCCTTGTTTGCAGCTACACCACAAGGGTGGGACTGCCTGTGGGTAAGTTGTTCAGTGGACAGTGCTCTGGAGATGAGGTATGAGAGACCCAGGCGACCAAAGCAGTCCGAGGCCCCAAAATTTAGTTATACTAGATTAAGTCTGAGAATAAGGACTGCCTAGATTATAATCCAGTTCAAGAAAACCCTTTGTAGCTACACATGTTGGGAGAATGTCTGACACTGATGGTGACATTCCCCATGCAGATTCAGAGATGACGTGACTCTTCCAATGAAGACGCATAGAAGCCATTTGTCATTGGACCCTTGATCCAGACTAACCCAAGACAGACATAGGGGGTGTGTATGTGTGCACACATCTATAGGCACGAATGAAACAAAAAGCTGCTGAGTCACAGCTTAGGAAACCCAAAGTCCAGTTCTTCTTACCCTGAAGCACTAAAGTACATAAAAGTACAAGTTTTAAAACTAAAAACATTTATCAGAGACCAGCAATGTTAAAAGAATATTTCATGTATAGTGGATGTGCCTTTATTCAATAAAAATTCCCAGAGCTGATCAGTATAGTGCCACAATTTAAAAAAAAGTCTGTTTAATAACTAGCTTCCCAGTGTAGGGAGGTATTTTCCTTGCCCTGTTGAACATGTTAGGTTATTTTTTTCCTACCCTGGGGCCATACCAATGTATAATGCTTTTAAAGTTTACGAGAAGGTTATGTGAATTCTATTTCAGCCTTATTTATATATTCTCATTTATTATTAATGGCATTAGACTTAACTTGGTTTACAGTAGTTACCAGGTTTGTGCCTAATAATGGCATGTGTTTTATGTGTAACTTCTAGGTTCTTACCCTTTTCCACACTTTCCTGTTGTACAGTGAAAGCTACTGCCAGTTGGAGGCCTGGAGTATAAAAAAAAAAAAAAAAAAAAAAAAAAAAATTACACCTTTTACTGCTGGTAGCAGTGGAGAGTTTTGGTTAGAGAGGACCACAGAAAGACAGTAACCAGGGTAACCAGAGCAGCACTTTGAAAAGAAATGGGAAGACTCCTTCTTCCTAGCAGAGCTGGAGCAGATGCAGAAGTGACCACATATGCCACTTAGGAACTTGCTTGTTCTAGGTAGAAAATTAAAAAGAGATGCTTACTTATGTACCTGCTGTGCTTCCACTTCAGAGCTTAACTAGTTTTTCTAACAGTGTTAAATCGATTTTTTCTATTCTAATGACACACTCCCTTTTTAATGTAGGTAAGACTTTACACTTCTCTTTGACCTGTAGTGGCATGAGAGTATATAACATTTCATCAGATTACAGACAAAGTAGAACTAACCCCAGCACTGACATTAGCTGGACCCCACCTCTGCCATCTGTGGCCACCAAATCCCTTTCCTTGTTTGCAGCTACACCACAAGGGTGGGACTGCCTGTGGGTAAGTTGTTCAGTGGACAGTGCTCATCTTTTCTGAAAACTGTTTGCAAAATCGCCATTGGGCATTTGCTGGTTAAGATGCATCTATCCCAAATGAAAGTTCTCAGATTCATCATTTTGAAATTGTACCTGGCATCTAATAACCACGGTTTACAAAACCATCCACTCATCTTTTTTAAAACCCTATTTTGATTCTTGCTAAGGAATAAAGTTGCACGTTCTGGACTTGCCTAAAATTAGACACCTGGATTTTGGGTTTGGCATTGCTTTGTACATAAAAAAGGGGGAAAGCTCCTGGCATTGCTGTAACCATAGCTATGTAATGATTGTCCTTTTTTTTCCCTTCCCAACTAGATTAACAGCGTGTTTTCCATCCATTATATTCCATTCCCCAAGCTACTTTACGCCTTTTCTTCAAGACAGTCGTACAAAGGCATTTACTGTATGTTTATTCTCTGACTCCTCAGCAGCCCGAAGTAGAAGATGACACTCCTGTTCAGTACTAATGTTATACTCAAACCTAATAGATAATGGTTTTGTATTATTTGAGAAAACAAAAACCAAACAGTAAATCCTTCCACTAGAACAGCAGTGGTTTCAAGAAGTCATTTGTGAATTCTAAATTACACGAAAATGAAAACTAACCACGTGTTCTTTAATTCAGTATTAAAATTTTGCTTTTGCTTGTCATGTAGAATAGCCTACTCAAATTTTTGGTTTTAATTTCTGTCAATTTCATAATCATTGCATGAGCATTCACCATCACTGAATGCTGGTGCTGGCGCTCCTAATTTTCCTTTCTTTTTTATTTATTATTATTTCTAACTTTTTTGTTTTGTTTTTAACTTGCAGTGCAAGCTTCACATAAAGCCTGGCAAGCCAAGGATGTTCCCGCATTCACCTGCTTTTGCAGTAATATTGTATCTCTGCCATCTGTGTCCTTTTGTTTTATTTTTTTTTTGCTCTTCCCCAAACACCAATAACTATTAACTCATTTTGCCAAATGTTGTTGGGTGGTGGAAAATGATAGAACAAGGGAATGACAGCAGAGCTCTGTGCAGCTGGACTTTGTTTTTGGAAAGTAAATAATTTGCCTTTTATGCCTGTTCAGAATGTCAGCAGGAAGCATGCCTGTTACTTGTATGTCACTTTGGAATGAGGAAAGTGGGGTAAAATACTGCCTGTACGTCTGACATGAAAACTTCTCACCGCCTCAGCAGCTGAACTAAAAACCTGAATAGCCACGACAACAACTTGCATTTTCTTGATTATTCATCTCCATGATTGCACAATCCCTGAATTCACTGTCTCTTCTCCACACCTGCCCCAAACCAAGGCAGACGTACGTGTGTGTAGGCAGGATGGTGAATAAGCATTATGTATGGCTTTACCCCTGCATACATTTTTCATTTTAATCAATAACATTATTTGGCCTGAGCTTGTGGGTCTGTTCAGATGTCTCCTGTTATTGTTTGAAACTGCATCTGAATGCTTGCCTCTTAAATCCTGGCCAAGTTGGAGTGGACTTGCATAAGAAAACTGATTATATTCACGTTTATCATGCATCCTGATCTTCGCACAGATGGAGATCTCAAAGGTGGTAGCATACAACATTGCTTAGTGGAATCTTCTACTGAGGATGATGGGTTTTCCATAAGCTACTTACTACTTTAAATAAGAGATCTTTCCTAAACATACCTACTCAGCTCTCAGTGGGCTGAGGGGGAGGACCTTAGTAACTCATTTCAGGATATCAGTACTTCTAGTAAAATTTTTCAGTAATCATGAGGAGAAAATTTCTACAAATACTTCAGATAGAAAATTTATTATTTTCTATCATCGGCAGAACAAATCTGAAGGGATCGTTTCAGGGCAAGGTAGAAATGGCAAGGGACACAGCACAACCCGTGAGTCAAGACAGTAGAAATTGAACTTCACACTTAGTTTTTTTGCTTAGTCTCCTTTCAATATTTGGCCATAAAGAGAGGAAGAAATAGAATGGCTGCTGCTTCAAGTCCAGTTGTCCTGAGGAATCTTCCTCACCATGACCAGCTCCACCTGCTCTTCATGCCTAAGGCCCATCGTCTCATCAAAGGTTAGGACTAATGCAAGTGCCAGGACACACACTACATGCCTGATGTGTATGGAAGGGGCCATATTTAATCTCTCTTCGACTATTCCTTTCTGATGCCTATCCTTTCATCTGCTTGATTTTTCCCCCCTAACAAGATTCTCCCAGATTTCTAGTTCTGTAGTCTCCTGTTTCTTACTTGAAAGGATAACATTTCTCATGAACCCAGTACTTCACCTCTGCATTTTCCTTCTGGCCCGCACTATTTACACGTTAAATAAATAGGATCAAATATGCTGCACCTCCCTCCGCACACTCTTTTCCCCTCCCTCCCTTCCCCACCGGCCCTGACTCCTCCTTTTTTTTAAAAATTAATAAGTCTCTAGTCGATTTCAACAGAGATATTTTTCCCTTCTCTTCATCGTCAGTCATACTTAAGGGAAATAAGGAATGGTCTTCCATGAACTGATTTAGCCTTAATTAGGCAAAGTAAGGAAATCAGTTTCATTGAAGCCCAAACTAAGCTGGGATAGAAACTGCTAGAAGCAACAGCAGTAGTGGTCTTTACAGATTTAGTAGCTACTAGACCAGTGCTTTTGTTTTTTTTTTTTTTTTTTTTTTTTTTCCTTTTTTAAAAAAATTCTAGTCTGAAGCTAGCTGTGGAGCAGCCAAATATTAGATGGCATGCTGATTCTAACTATGGGCTGAATTTGCTCATATGCTGTGCACCAGACAAAAGCTTGAATATTTGTGTTGTATGCTTGTTCCAACCACTGCTTGTGTGAGCATTTTTGTGCTTTGTAACAGAAAATACACTTTAAAATTTTGTATCTTGCTTCACTAAATCCTTTTTAAAATGAGCCTAGCAACAAAAGGCATCCAGCTGACTTTTTGATTCCAAGATTGTTGATTGATTGGGTTGATTTATTTTTGCATTAAATTTTTCACAGCAAAATAAATTATATGGCGAGTCAGGGAATAAAAAAAATCAAGAGACATATAGAAGCTGTTTTTTTTTTTAATGTGTTGCTTCTGAACTTTTTTCTACCACTGCTCCCCAGCCCTGTTTAGTTTGTTCTTGCTGCTCTTTTCTTTCTGTATCTATGCCTTTTTTCACAGTAGTCCTTGGCTCTGCACGGAGTAAATGATACCCTCAAATCTAATTGGATGTGCTTTCGCCTTTGCATGTAAGTATAGTAGTAAGAAATCTTTGAGATCTTTCTGACTTTTTAAAATTAGAGAAAACAAATGGGATGGATGGAATTATTTTTTTCTTCTTTTGGAGGGGGGTAGGGAGGTAATGGTTTAAATAGCCTTTGTTTACAAAAAAAACAAAAAACAAAAAAACCCAAAACTAGATATATGTAAAATGGTCACATTTATATTTTTTTCACTAGAACTACATAAACTCAACTCCTTAGCCTCTGTGTGGAAGTCAGAAATTATGAATCCCAGCCTGTGTTCTACACAGCATCACAGGATATTACAGAGGGTCCTTGATTCTTGACAATGTCAATAAAGTTAGAATAAGAAACTACCACCTTCTACTGCAGAAAATCAGAAAATCAAGAGGAAAAAATGTTTTACACTAGGCTGCCTTTGTGACCACTTAATTTTTTTATCTTTGTTTAATGGTCTCTCCTTAAACTGCTAACTCCTGGCAGATGTCACCTGACCACTTAATTTTTTTATCTTTGTTTAATGGTCTCTCCTTAAACTGCTAACTCCTGGCAGTTGTCACCTTTAATGGTCTCTCCTTAAACTGCTAACTCCTGGCAGTTGTCACCTTTTTTTTTTTTTTGGCCTGATAGCTGTAACTGACCTCCCTGAACATCTTTTTTTTCAAACATAAGGACCATCTTTTTGCTTCTTCTGGACTGTAGGATGTTATGGAAAAGCATTTATGAGAATTTATTGCCAGTTCAGAGATAATGTTTTCCCAGCTTAAACTCTCTATTAATTGGCCAAGGTTTTGTCCAAAAAAGGGCATCTCAACCAGGGGAATTACTCAATGTAATGCTGGGCACAAGTTATTCATCATCTTCCTTCTCTGCTTTGTAACTCACCAGCAATAACACTTACTCTGCATATCTCGTGCACCTCAAATGCTTGGTTTCCTCACTTTCTTGACATATCCATAAGTGTTTCACATACAAACTGTGGAATCAGGTTTTTCAGCTGTTCCCGACCCACGTCATACTGTCTCTGTGTGGTCCTACCAAAACTGTCCATTCAGATCCCTTTGCAAGTCTCTGGAATTGTCAAGTCTCAGCTTTCAAAAGTCCTGGTTCTATTGACAGGACCCATATGTGATGACTTTTTAGTGGGAATTATGACCTACAAAGTCTAGTTTGTACGTAGGTATGAAGAAAATTTTTTAAATAAATTGAAAATTAAGCTGTGAACAGCATTAGAACTTTGTCTATTTCTTAATTTTAAAATATACTGATATGCCTTAAACTGTAGTTGTAGATCTTTGTCATTTTGCTCTTTGAAAATAACCGATGTGTTTTCCAAAACTGTTGTGTAATCTACTTTCAGTGTTAATGCAGAATTGTCATATATGTAAGCTGCATGTTAGGCACCTGTCTTTTTTTTTAAACTAAAATAATTGTATTGATGTGAAGCATATCATTTTTTTAAGTATAAAAGTAATCACTTAGCAACATGCTTGGTAATTTGGTGTCTGTTAAGGTAGGAGAGTGACGGACAGATAATCTATGCATCTATCACTAGTGCCAAGACATAACGCAGGGGAAAATATATTTTTACCCAAACATTGTTTTGCGTGCCCTTTTGTGAATTCTTTTTAGTCACTGCTGATATGCATATGTACACGTGCGTATTATATTGGGTAAAAGAAACAGGAATGACAGTCTCATGATTTATTGCTTTGCGTGGTGGACTTTAAATGCTGCCATCTGGGCAGCACCAACTTCTCCAAGATCCTTGCCGTGTGGTGTCCTGTACTTCATATACCGTCTCCATCCCCATCCTGCCATCCTGATCCCTCTCGGCCCATCCGAGGCACCCTCTTCCTGCCTGGCCTCTGGTGCCAGGACTGCCACCCTCACGCTCCAGCTGAGCTTGGTGAAGTCATCCCTTTAACTGACACCTGCCGTTCTTTCACAGCTTGTTGTAGAGAAGCTCCTTTCTTTTTGTTTCTTTTTTAAGCCTATAAGAATCCAGTTTGAATCTGAACCTTTCTTTTTTCTCTTCTGTAGCTTCTTCTTTATGTAACCATCCTGTTGACAAGCCCTACTCTCTCCTAATGGACATAGAGCATTAGAAGAGCAGGAGCTGTCTGTTCACACGTGTTGGGGAAGAGTTACCTCATTTCCACCATCGCCTCCTGTTCTTTTAAAGTCTGGGTCAAATATTGCACTGCTGTTTGTATTTGTCAATGTCTGTTTACAAACCACGACCCATAGTGGATACTGAAGTGACTTATCACTACCAAAAATAACAGTACTTAATTAAAAGGAAAAGGAAATTGAGTGAAACAGAGAACTTGGGCCAAGACCCAAGGTCTTGTGTTGGGATCTAATTGCTTAGCTGTCATGTTCTTGAAGCTGCTGATCCAAGAACATGTGGACTGAAGACAGCATGTACCCTAACATGAGGTGCCACCCCCTCTGGGGCCCAAAAACTTGATCTCGTGGTAACTCCTGACCTCTGTGTCCCATGAGCAACATTCTGAACAGCCCGATCAGGATCCTCGACCATCATCAGGTCATAAGATCTGGGCAACATTTTCCTTCCTCGCAGTCACCTCTTAGGGGCAGTTTTCATAGTCATGGGACAATTTTCAAATCTTGTTATCTGTTGTAGAACATGGACATGCATTTTAAGTTACCTTTCAATTTTATTACTTGTCTATAGCTTTGCTTATTTCCATCTTCATTTTTCAGCCCCATAATAGGTAGCTTATAAAAGTATACTATTGGTGGCATGACTTGCATTGGTCAGGATTCTTAGGAGTGTTCCCTTCTGTATAAGAATGGTAATGTGTGCTTCTGTTGGATGGTGAAATGATGAAGCAACAGTCCCTGCTTCTTGAATCATTTGTTTTCTTGAAAGAGGTTACTTAGAGCAATTGGATGAGCATGCTGGCATGCTGCTTTCCTTACTTAGAAACTACTATTAAATGTAAGTCAAGTCAGATTCATCTGAGCCATTAAATGATCAAAACATGAGTCAAGAGCCATCCCCTTCATACTACACTGTAATCTGTAAGGGTGGGAATCTGCTAGTGATGTAAGGTGGCTGGGGGTGGGGGAAGGGAGTCTTAACTCCTTAACTGATGCCAGAGCGTAACATATCAGTTTTTTAAGTTAAACATGTAGATCCCATTGTGTAAAACCACTGTCATCCCTAAGTACAATTGTCTTTATTCTTGAACTATTTTTAATATCAACTTTATCCTATCACTCATTTTAAAAACAAATTATGTCAGGCTGTAAAGGTATTTTTTTTTTTTTTTTTTTAGCAGTATTTAAAAATCAAATTTGGGGGCTGGCCTGTGGCTCACTCGGTAGAGTGCGGTGCTGATAACACCAAGGCCA